ATTTCCATGGTTAGGAACGTAAGGTTTAAACCAAGCTAATTAGCTTTGGAAGTTTGAAACAGTTCTAACAAGTTAATAACTTAGTAGTGCTGATGTAGAACTTTGTCTTTGCTGTATTACGTTGTTATGTGGTGCTAATATTCCATTTGAAGAGTTTCATGTATAGCTATTATACAATTTCAGTTTTGAATACCGCAATTTAGTGTAAATCAAAACAACTGTATTCAAATAAATCTATATATATAAAAGAAAGGCTTTACTGATATGGTTGAAAATTGGTGAGGAGGTAGCTTAAAGCCAGTAGACGGACATAGGATACTATTTATTTTTTTCGTTTTTGAAAAGCTGCTTTTTATTTAACTTATCTATACATTAAGTTTTTTTATATATCCACACGGATGGAGTCGCGGGCGACAGCTAGTATTTAAAAAATTCTTCTTCAATTTTGTTATGAGAAAAACTTTTATTCAATCGCTACGTAAAGTCAAACAAACTTGCGAAGTTCTGGTCTGGTGACCTTAAAAACTTACAAAGCTTATTAGGTATTGGGATGAGGGTTACATAAGCTTTTGCTTGCGTCATTAAAAAAGGAATATTCTTAATTTTTTTACATACTAATTTTATTTTATTAATGAATTAAAAAATAATTCAAATGACAAATTGTGATTTTTCTCATTTTTTATTTTATTTATTCATAATTCAAAACTAACAGTAAGCAGTATTCGTAGCAGTCGATTAACGAATAGCTACCCACTATCAACGGAAATAAATGCGTTAATAACGTGTGTTCTCACTACCAAAACAACTGACGAAACATATTGCTATTTCGGATTTTTCAAGGTACTGAGAGAGAAAAATCTGTACAATTGTTTTGGCAGTGAAAACTCGTGGTATCATCATCATCAGCTCACTATACGTTCCCACCGAGAGGCTCAGAGCCTACAATAAGTTAAGGGTGATTAGGCCATAGTCAACCACGCTGGCCCAGTGCGGGTTACTTGATTTCACACATATCTTTGAATTTCTTCTCAGATATGTGCAGGTTGCTTCACGATGTTTTCCTTAAACGTAAGAACGTCGGATAAATTTACATATGTAAATCGGAAATCGAAAAAAACATTGGTACATGGCGCGATTCGAACCCAGGACCTGCAGATTGCAAGTCAAGTGCTTAACCCCTGAGCCACCGACGCTCTTATCTCTCATCTCGTGGTATACATCACTTTATTCCTTAGTAATAGCAATCAGTACTTCAAGAGTCTTTGTCAACTTTTTTTATAAACTCCAAAACGCGACTTAGTTGGAATGTACTAAATTAAAACTTTTTGTATCAAGTTTACGAGTTTCTTATTCCTTAAACTTTGCGAATTTACGATTAAAAAGCTTCCGAGTTGTTGTAGACATATCAACTATTGTACTTAATAGTGTTACTCATATCTCAACGGTATCCATTTTAAAAGTAAAATATGCTTGAATCTGACCAAAACATACGAATTTAATGTGTGAAATTATTTCAATTTTATTGGCCTTCCAATTGTTTGTTGATTGATTTAGATTGTTTAAGAGTATTGTAAGTGTTGACGAAGGAAATATTCTGAAGTACCAGTTGACTTGTCTGAACCGGTTATTGATTGTGGGCAATATTTGCTGTTTGCCACTGTTTGCCTTGAAGAGGCATCAAGGTGGGTTTGAGTCGAACAAAGACCTCAAGAGTTCGATACCTTTTATTTGTCGCAACTTGTTATTATTGAAATAAAATATACAAGATAGAAAAGGTAAAAGGTATACTGGTAGTACAAATTACACTGCCTTAAAACGTTCTTGGCTTCGTCCTTTTAATGATATTGAACAGGACGACTGATCTTTTTTTACAAGTGTTTGGACGAGTTCATATCTGATTTCACTCCCTTCTTACGCGCAATTAATCAATACTTTCTTCGCCTTTACTCTACCTTTGTACCCCTTTTTAATTATTCGTACGTACGCAGCCTTTTGTTTATTGATTGTCGACCCGCAGGACCCTGTAACTATTTTTTGGCGGAAATATAAATAATTTATTTCTTCTTATAACTATTGAAAACTTGATATTTAACTTGATTTTTACAGTGACATCACCTTGCCTGGAGAGTTCATTTTTAAACAAAGAAATCATGGTGTCACGTACTAAAAAATCAACAATGTGGCAAATATCGTTTCTTGATATCTGTATGACAAATTAATAACTGTTGCTCGTAACTTAAAACAAACTTGGATGGAACTTTCAATGTTAACGACGGTCTTCTTACGTTTGGATCGTCGATCCAATGATGTGATATTTGTGATCGCAGTGTCGAGGGTGCGTCGTGATCCGGGAACCGTGTGTACCGGGCGGGGGTTGCGGTGCGGAGAGGGTGACCACCCTTCGATCGATCCCGACCGCTCCCTAACGCCCTACCTATACAACTATGACGACGTAGAGACGGGATCGTATTTGTAATTATTACATTTGCAACTGCATCCCTGTTGGAAATACAATTTTTATAACATACGATTTATAACGTAATAGCGCTTGCCCTAAACTTTAAAAATGCCTAAAATAGCCTAAAATATTTCCGCGTATATTAGCTTCCAATGAAAGTCCCGTCAAAAACAAACCGTTTCGGAGATTACCAGTTACAAACGCGGACTTACAGATAGACAGGAAAAAAATTAAAAAGTTTGCTCATTGTTATCGGCAACATTTTTGAAATATGATTTTTTTTCGATAATACATGCAGACACTCCATTTTTCTTTTATATAATAGCAAATAATTTCTATGAAGCTGGTTGGGAAAATTGTTACTTAAATAATTTATAGCCCGTAGTTTGTCTACCAGCAGTTTTCGTTTCGAGGATCAAAGGCAAAGTTATATTATGTTTACCTATTGCCGTCGTCCAACTGCAGTCAGCCTCCGTTAAATTCATTTCAACGCCGTCGAGCCTAACTAACTACGTTCCGTTACAACCACCGTCGACGTCCACAGCACAGTTGAGTGAATATCGATTTTACATTAAGCCACTAACCATCCATCTTGACGCCAAATAATTTAATTATTTAATGGCTGTGAAATATTATTTTTGTTAGTACATACTTAATATTTTTTCACGCTGAAACATTTTCTTTGAATTATATTATATTATCTTGAAATTTTTATCCAATAAGGCAATGCAAACTATCAAAAGGTTTTTTTAGATATTTCTTAGAAAATTTTCCATGGTATGTTTGCGCAACTACGACCTTTTCAATTTCGTGTTCATTGTTTGTGCCTAAATTAACTTTTTTTTTCTCTCCTTTATTTGTGACCTTCGTATTTGCCAATTGAAATTTTCCTTCAATTAATCTCAGTACATTTACGCGCAATACTACGTTAAACTTAGTTGACCCTTTTTTTTAAACTTTTCGAGCAATGTTTTGAGTGGATAATGGAAAGTTTAAGTTTGATTGGAATGTAAGTCGCGATTAACATTTTACCGAATAAACTTCGAAACTTTTACGACAAGCAGTTACATGGTTTCTGTTGGGGTAGGTCACATTTGTTTTAAAAACGTGAGTATTTCACTCCATTAAAGAATTGATCTTCGACAGTTTTTTCGCAATTACATTTTGTAGTTTGTATTTTTTTAATAATAACTTTAGTGAACTAAGAATTAATTTAATTTAATTTTCATATTTTGTTGTACGAGATGTTTATTTAATTTCTACATATTGATGTCTATTTTGATTCGAAGGAAGTGATTTCAGACATGACAGCTAATAGCACTACGCATTACGCAAGAAATAAGTAAATCATTTCTTGTTAGAATATTTGTGTTTATAATTATGTTACTTTTTAAAACAAGTTTACAAATAATGAGTTACCTAGGTAGGTTTTGAGATAGAAACAGTTTTTTTTTTATAATTGAACATCGATGTTTCACTAAATATGCCACCGACCGATTTTAAACTTAGTTAATTTATAAGAATAGAAACTTACATTAAAGTTACCGTCAAATTCCAAATTTGATTCCTTAAAGTCCGGCAACGAATGTGCAGTTCTTCTGGCCATGCGGTCGATGGGCGTCATTGATCACCTCGTTGTTTCCGCCGCTTGTTTTCCCCTTCTCTTATAAAAAAACCAAATGAAAGGGGTTACACTGTTATTTTATACAAGTAGATGTACAGTGGAAACTCATCGTTAAAATGATTTTGGATATTTGTCAATTTGCGAAATTATTGAAAAGCGCACTTGGCTGTTGTAGTTCTGGTTCGGTTATCACGTGGTCCCTGGTATCCTTAGCGCGATAAGAAACTGACCAAGTTCATAAGTGGAAGGTGACATAAATGTCTTTTTAATCCAACGTCTGCAGAACAGTGGTGTTACCAGTATTGTATTACTAACATCGCTTGTGTCATGCATGTGCTGTAGTTGAGCTTTAGTTACAGACTTGTACGAATGTTTTCTTTTAAATTTTAAGTTGTGCAACAAAGAAACTAGCTAATTACAATCAGGTTAGAAATTAATGTGTATTTTTTAATGTAAGTTTTAATTTATAGTATCGAAATTTTCTTCTGGTTTAATCATGATAAGTTACTATTATACGATAAGTTCACAACCCTAGAACGCGTCGTTAGATCCAATTTCATATCACATTTAATTTGGAGTCAAGTGTATTATTTCCACAGTCAAGAATGCTATCCAAAAGATCAGATTCACATAGTTAACAGCTATTTTTTTTATTATACAAAAATTTCACATAACAAATATAATATCGATTAGACAGCAGTACTAAAAACTCAAAGGGTTTAAGTGTACTTACTGGTCTACTGGCAAGTGAAAATTTAGTGTCTGGCGACCCCGTATATATGTAAATTTACTAGGTATTGCTTGTCAGTTTGAAACCCGAATGAAAATATTGTCAAAATCTGCAAAAGCATGGCTACTTATAAAAAAAGATAATGATGTGAATTTTATTTAAGTTAATTAATTTTCTTTTTTTTACAGGTAACTGACAAAATAGCACAATTGGCTTCCGAAATACACTGGATGGTTAATAAAAGGTATTTAATAATTTTTTTTATATTTTAAATAACATTTTTAACTGTTTATAATATAACGAATATTAATTGATGAATACATACAATGTTTGGAGATTTATATCGTATTCAAAGAAAATGTTTCTTATGTTATTCGTAGTAATGGTACATTAGGTAAATCTATTAAAAGTTTTGTATATTTTTGAACTTTGGTGTAGAGCATTCTTATAATATCGTATTCCTAAGTATACATATAAAGAATACCTTTTGTAGCGTATAGAGCAAGTCTATTGTTTTTGTATTAAAAATTGTAAAGCATCATTCGTTCATAAATGTTAAGGAAAAAACTTATCATGATTTTAAGGCCTGTCATAACTTAGTTATACTTAAAAAAATATTTTAAGTCTTCGTATATATTATGTAAATACATTGAATATTAGCTAAATAATTGCAGCCTTCAAAATTTCTAATTACTTTGAAAATGTTGCTAAGAATTAAATTATAGTTTACAATTTAAACTTTGTTTTAATATTATAATAAAATTGTCGTAAAACTGACTGACTGACTGATAGATAAAAAAGCGCCATCTATTGTTTGTGTTCTAAAACTTTTATTTAATTCACCAGATTCAATCTTAGGGACTAACTTACCTTAAAACGATTTTTAAAATATACACGATATAATATAATATTATAATAAGATACATGAAATATTAACACGAATATATATGTAGTTTTGTGTTCGGTTTTTAGAATTTAAAGTAATCTTTATGTCGCGGGTAACAACTAAATTAATATATTTTAAGTTTTAAATTTAAACAAATTAATTGCATCTGGTTGCAAACTATAAAATTATTATAATACTGAACTATACAAATATCGTAATCAATGCAACATGCATAATACATGCGTTGAGTAACAAAAATAATTCACTATTCAAAGTGTAAAATATTACTTTTAAATAAACAATGGGTCTGCGTTTAAATTAATAATAAGCATTCACCAATGATAAAGCAACCTACCTTCTTCCTTAAACGACTTGTTATTGTCGTTCGAGAAAAAAAAACCGACAATCGCCATCGCACCTGCAGTTTCACGATTGTTGAAGATGTGCGTAGACAGGTGGGCAATTCTTCGCCAATGCAAAAGAGGTTATAATTCTTCGAACATATAGACCAATAAAATAGTGGAACCAAACAGTAAGACCGTAAAACGTAAATAAATATTTTTTTATTGTTATCCGTCAACGCACTGAGACTGGTTTATAATTGGAAGGTTGTTTATTATAATTATTACTATGGCAAAACAGCTGTTGAGTTCATCGACCGATGGCCGGTACACCCACGCGGGTGTGCGAGAAAGACGGCGATTACATTAACACCGCGTGTGACAGTGACGGGAGATATACAATGGTGTACGGAAGAAATAGAAAAAAGCTTATAAGCTTTATACGGAATAATAATGAATTGTATCACCGTTGCACAAACAATGTTGTTCCCGGACTTTTCCATTACTATTTTTTTTTAACTTTGTACACTTGCACACCTCCACGAATCTTTTTACTATCAAAGTATTTAAAATATAATTATCTGTTTTTAATTGATGTAACAAAAATAGCTCTATGTCGAAGTAATTTCAACAATATTTAAAAAAATAATCTAATTGGAGCAGTTCTCAATTGAAATGAGGAAATTTAAGCATACTTTATCAGTTGAACGAAATTATAATAACAAAATGAAAATTAGCATAGACGTTCAGGCTGTGTATTATCCTTCAAAACATATTGTTACCTCAGATTTTTCAGAGAGATTGAAAGAGACAACAATATGTTATTGTATAAATCTTAGCGCATTTTAAACACAAAGATAATACAACCTCTGTGACTTTGGTTACAAGCAGTTTGTACATAAAGCACTCAACATCAGATAAAGCTAATTTTCATTCCAAGATAGACTCGTATTTGTGAATGTTATCTTAAAATAAACAATGACCTACCTCATATTTTCCACTGTGACTCTCCGTGCGCGATAAACTTGTGTTTTGATATGAATTATCTAACGGATCTCTAATAAGACTAGGGCTGGCAACTTATGCAACAATGTTAATCCAAAAAAAAAGGTCAATGACACTTGTTCTTGCCTATTTTGCACATGACAACGACACCCTTGATCTTTAGTGGACGATGAAAAAAAGTGTAGCAACAACATTCACTTGTTTTACTTTTACTTTGTACTCTATGACCCGAACATCGTTGTTGAACGAATTGTGCTTCAGATCGGAAAAGGAGACGGCTTGTGATTTTATGCCTATATCAGTCTATATTCCGCGCTTTGTGAACCTATGACAAAATGGACGCAGTTTGTACTCCCCGCTGCGCTTTGTTATCACTTTCGCTCCTACCATATTGAAATACGAAAACTAAGCCTGCCGCTTTTTACATGCATAGTGAGTCTATGTGAATTAGAACAGATAACCGTGTATTTCCATTGCATTGCATACGTAAATATATTGTTATCTCAGTTTTTTCAAAGTAAATGAGAGAGATGACGATATATTTTAACGTGTTTTTACTACTTTACTGTATTTAATGTATACTGTAAATGTTCATTAAATGGAGTGTGTTTTTACATTTAATTGAAAGATACTGCGATGAATCTAAGCCAGAAATTCTATTGAATCCCAGTAACCAGTACTAGTTGTAATAATATTTAGTTGTTTCTTATAATTTTTAAAAACAATTCATGACCAATACCTACATGCAAACAGCACTCGTCTCTCGTGATTTACAAATCAATACACCTGCGCAAACATGATTACAAGAGAATCCAATTCAATCAGCAATATTGTTTGTCGATTAATTTCTGTAAATTGTATTGGTCGACCTCGTACTAGCGGTCGTAGTGAAGCTTCGTATTGATACGCTAGATAGCAATAGAGTATGTTTCTACGAGTTTTCATTGTTGATACACTTGTTTAAATGCGTATTGTCATCTCTTTCATTCTCTTTGAAAATAATCAACAATTTATTTTTATATAAATGTTCGATGATTCGGCCCAAAACTATGGTACTGAGACTCGTTTTTAAAGCTAAGGTTTTTCACAAACAGCACAATTTTCTATAAATTTTCTCTAAAAAATCGATAAGTATTTTTGTAAAGTAGATTTAGCTATCCTTTTTTATAATATATTGTAGTTTAACTCGCTTTATAGTTTTATAATTAATATAAAATAACACAAAATCCGAAATATATGGTTTTTTCGTTCATCTTTTTATTTCATTTCGACGTTGCATCAAAATAATACAGACGACAAATTGGATTGAGTGGTAACTAGAAATGTACGGTACGATTTCACCTAACATTTATTGGATTGCATTGGATTGAGACGATAGCAATTAATTCAGGAGCACGGATCGCGTGAGTGCTATCAAATGTCCGAGAGGGTAACCGGATAAAAATTAAAAAAAGAAAAAATCTAACCCTATCCAGTATCCTCTCACCGGCCGTCAGTTCTGTGCACTGATCTGCAAATGTTATTAAAAAATTCTCCCATTTTCAATCCAATTAGTGTACAAACGAATGAAATAAAACCAATCTTTTATCCTACAATGTTTACGCACTCGAAAATATGAACAAATAACAACTACAGAGTGTTGAATATTAACAACTATATTGATATGTAAATATATAAAATGACAATGTATTAAAATTCATATTAAAATTCCAATCCGTGACTTTATTGTTGGATCGTGATATAATTATACTTTGTGTAGAAAATTAATTATGCTCATGCAAAAGACTAGGATAGCATGAGTGCGTAGGGATCATGGAAGCAAAGTTATTGATTTTACTGTTTCCATTGTCGAAACGGCCATAGACAAACATATTGCCATCTCAGTTTTTTCAATGAGAATGAGAGATGCGACTATCCGTTTTTGTTTGAATGTTTTGCAGTCGAAACTTACGATTACCGATCCCTGATCACTGACCGATTACGATTTTTTTTACATTTTTATCAGAGTTTTATAAAATAAAAACTTTCTAACATAATTTGACATGTCTTTTCGATGATCGGTTCGGGAAATGTTTTATTCAGCAGTATTACATGAAATAAAACAAATAGGGTATCTAATTTGATCCGGACGAAATTGCGGGCGATAATAATATAAAAAATTCCAAGCTTACGTATTAGTTTTAAAAATAATTACCACTTTCCTTTTATCCTTTTAATTACACGAGAAGTGAACAGTCTGGCTGTTTGATATTGTAGTCAATGCATTTGAGTAAAATATTTTAAGCAAGGGGACCGGCTCCCCTATGTAATACACAACTAATTGGCATCTCAAATACTAATATGAACAACTTAATACCTTTTAATTGCTTCATATCTCTTAGCATTTACACCACTCGTATTTAATTTGAAGTCGAGTATTCGGTTTCTTGTTGTTGCATGTTGCCTTAATGATTGCCGATTTTCGAAAGAAGATGGCGCTATATAAAGATTCGGTTACTATGTGTCTACTTGAATAGATTTACTTAAACCTGTCACAAAGTGCTGTAGAAATCAATGATAGAGACTCGACGATATCAACCAAATTGGTAAGATATTAAGAAAGGGGGACTAAGAAGATTAAGCGTACTGGTACTAGGTAACCGACGAGCATGTGTGTGGATATATGAAAGAGGATGAAGTACTCACTGTCTGCGTCTCGGGAGTTCCTTCTTTGATATATAATTTTACGTTACGTCTTTATTAGTTTGATAATAAAATAGCGTAGTAGTTGAAGAGTTTCTTAGAAATTATCTCGTTTATTGGTTCACTATTCTCACAATGTTTTATTTTAATTAAACTGGCCTGTTATTTATTTTATAGAAATACGTTATTCACAGAACAAGTGTTTAAGACGGTTTCCATTTAAATGGGTATATTTGAAAGGGAAAATGAGAGCTTAAGTTTTGTATTTCAAAGAAAACAAGTTAAATTAAAATCTTGAATGAAAATTACTAGACTGCTGAGCTGATTTTG